TTATGTATATTGAAAAATAAAAATATAAATAAAAAAAAAAAAAAAATGCTGGGATTCAGAAGGGAGACTCACAGTGCTCCCTTCGGCCCCCTGGCAACCCAGCACCTCTCTCCAGGCTCCAGCATCTCCCTCCTTTTCCTCGGACTGAGCTGTCACAGTCCGAGGTAAAATAGCCTGTGGGGAAGGGCATATTGAAAAATCCAGGGGGGGAGGGGGCAAGTGCCCCCTCTTACGGACGCCCATGACTACATTATTATTATTATGATTATGCTATTTATATAGCGCCATCAAATTCCGCAGCACTTTACATTGGTTGGACAAACAGACATGAGACATGAGAGATGTCTCACGTGTAAAACAGTACTCCCTATGTACAGGGTCAAATATAGCATGTTACATTTTTCCGTTTTTTCACATTGAAATTTGCCAGATTGGTTACGTTGCCTTTGAGACCATATGGTAGCCCAGGAATGAGAATTACCCCCATGATGGCATACCATTTGCAATAGTAGATAACCCAAGGTATTGCAAATGGGGTAAGTCCAGTCTTTTTTAGTAGCCACTTGATCACAAACACTGGCCCAAATTAGTGTTAATATTTGAAAATGCAAAAAACTAATTTGAACGTCAATTTTGGTCAGTGTTTGTGATCAAGTGGCTACTAAAAAAGACTGGACATACCCCATTTGCAATACCTTGGGTTGTCTACTTTTGCAAATGGTATGCCATTATGGGGGTAATTCTCATTCCTGGATTACCGTACGGTCTCAAAGGCAACGTAACCAATCTGGCGAATTTCAATGTGAAAAAACTGAAACACAAGCGTTATATTTGACTCTCTACCTTTTGAAAACACCATAAAACCTGTACATGAGGGGTACTGTTATACTCAGGAGACTTCTCTGAACACAAATATTAGTGTTTCAAAATGGTAAAACATATCACATATCTTTCATTGACAATATCGACGTTGTAATATGTTTTACTGTTTTGAAACACTAATATTTGTGTTCAGCGAAGTCTCCCGAGTATAACAGTACCCCTTATCTACAGGTTTTATGGTGTTTTCAAAAGGTAGAGAGTCAAATATAAGGCTTGTGTTTCAGTTTTGGCCTGGGTTGTCAGGCTGGTCCTGCTAATTGCAATTAATAAAATTACCTTATTATGTAAAATTATTACATAAATATACACGTAGAATTATTATATATATGTGTGTATACAGTTGCAAGAAAAAGTATGTGATCCCTTTGGAATGATATGGATTCCTGCACAAATTGGTCATAAAATGTTATCTGATCATCATCTAAGTCACAACAATAGACAATCCCAGTCCCAGGGGGCCGAAGAGGACGGAGGGGGACTCCCTGGGCTCCCAGGTGAGTCCCCATACCGTGATCGCTGGCGTGGGATCGCCGGTGACCGGGTAAGTACAAAGGACGGTTTGGGTGTTCTATGCCACCCTGCGGCATTTAGAGCCGTGGCATTTAGAGCCGCTTCCTTAAGGACAGCATAGAACGCCCGCCGTCCTTAAGGGGTTAAGTGATACGCTTTTTGAATAAGTGGGTTTTTAACAATTTTGTGGAGAGTGGGTGAGCATCTAACGGTGGAGGGAAGCGAGTTCCACAGGAACGGTGCAGCCCTCGAGAAATCTTGATTCTCACCCTTAATTCTTTTACAGCCATCATACTACTAAAATCATCATGAGAGATGTAGTCTAATATATCTGGAGCGCTAAAGGTTGCCTATTCTTGAGCTAGACATATGTGTCAGTGTTGCATACGTTAGTAAGACTGCAAGTAATTCTGATATTTATAAGCCTCTGATAAAGGTAAAATGTAGGTCGCTTTGGAAATGCTTCTCTCATTTTAGTGTGCCTTTGATCAAAGGCTGGAAACCAGAGTATTATGAGAATGTACATTATATACTCCATTACCAATACAAAAACAACATAGGGTTAGATGTTTGTAATAACTCCCGCTTCCAACCAAAGTAACTGATGTAACTAAATTGCTACTTCCATATTCTTCATTATTCCGATATATTCCCTTTATCATGTAGAATGAATGGAAAAAAACTAAACCAGTCAACTATTACCAATGATAATGACAACATCCTGTTCTTTAAGCAAATTATTAGCAGACATTAGTGTCTCGTTTACGGTTCAGCACATTAAATAATAGGGCATAAGTGAAATGAGATGCAAATAATATGCTTATCAGACGTAACCTTCAGTTTACCTTATTTGCTAAGCTTCATTAAAGCTAATGACAGGTAGATTCTTTCTGGTAATCCATATGTAAATCTGCTAGTTCTCTCTTGTCGGGCCATTGGGTTTTGTTCTGATGGAGGACGAATGACATAGAAACCTTGAATTATTCACATATATTAGTGAAACTATATTTACTGCTTTTTTTAACGTGTTTACTGAATATATTTAGCATTATTGTCTTGATTTATATTGTGATGAGCTTATTTGAAGTTACAGGCCCCATAATCGACCTGTATTTCTTTGTAAAAAAACAAAGACCCCAAAATTAGTGGTGCTGCTTTAGAACAATCACATGTAGATATAGTGAAAGAATGTTCAGTAAGTACATAGTTAGATCCGGGGTGGGAGGCACATCTGCCCCCAAGAAATTAGAAGCATGTATACATTGATCAGCCATAATATTAAAACCACCTTCCTAATACCATGTAGGTCCCCCTATGCTGCCAACACAGCTATTCTGCATTGAGACATGGACTTGACAAGATCGCTGAACGTGTCCTGTGGTACCTGGCAACAAGACACCCTTTAAGTCCTTCAAGTTGTGAGGTGGAACCTTCCTGGATCAATTTTGTTGTTCCAGTACATCCCACAGATGCTCAATATGTTTGAGACCTGGGGAATTTGGAGGCCAAGGCAACACCTTGAACTCTTTGTAATGTTCCTCACACCATTCCTGAACATTTTTCGCAGTGTGGCAGGGTGCATTATCCTGCTGAAAGAGGCCACTGCCACCAGGGAACACCATTACCATGAAGGGGTGTAAGTGGTCTGCACCAATCCCTTGGTAGGTGGTACTTGTCAAAGTAGCATCCACATGAATGTGAGTACCCAACTTTTCTCAGCAGAACATTGCCTAGAGCATAACACTAACTCCAGCAGCCTGCCTTGCTCCCCATGTAAATGGCGCACACGCACCCAGCCATCCACCTGATCTAAAAGATGATGTGATTCATCAGACCAGGCAATTTTCTTACATTGTTCCATGGTCCTGTTCTGATGCTTACAGTGCCATCAGCCCCAGTTCAGGCACCTTATTATCATGGCCAATATTAAAGGACCACTATAGTGCCAGGAAAACAAACTCGTTTTCCTGGCGCTATAGGGTTATTAGGTCCCCCCACCCTCATGGTCCCTGTCCCACTGGGCTGAAGGGGTTAAAACCCCTTCAGCAACTTACCTTAATCCAGCGCCGGGCTCCCTTGGTGCTGGTGACCTCTCCTCCCCCTGCTGACGTCAGCGCCGTCAATGATTTCCTATGGACGGCCAGCGTCTTCTCACTGTGATTTTCACAGTGAGAATCGCGGAAGCTCCTCTAGTGGCTGTCAGTGAGACAGCCACTACAGGCTGGATTAACGCTCAGTGAAATTGCAGAGGGACCTGGCACCCAGACCACTTCATTGAGCTGAAGTGGTCTGGGTGCCTATAGTGGTCCTTTAAGTTTCTCAGTAATTTGAGCTACAGTAGGTTTTCTGCGTGATCAGATCAGGCAGGTTAGCCTTTGCTCACCGCGTACATCAATGAGCCTTGGGCGCTCATAACCCTGATGCTGCACATGGTAGGTACTAACCACTGCATACTGGAAACACCCCACAAGACTTACCATTTTGGAGATTCCATAAGTGTTTTCTAGTCATCACTATTTGGCCCTTGTCAAAGTCACTCAGATCTTTTCATTTGCCCATTTTTCCTGCTTCCAACGTATGAAATCCAAAAACGGATTCTTCACTTGCAGCTTAATATATCCCAGCCCTTGACAGTTGCAATCTAAGGCTATAATCAATATTATTCACTTCACTTGCCAGTTGTTTTAATGTTGTGGCTGATCAGTGTAGCTTTGCAAGCAACATGGGCTGAATGATTGCCCACCCCATTAAATGCCTGTAGAGACTTGTGTCATATGTATGACTATGTATGTGTAGGTGCTGTTGTAGGTATCCATCACTGTATCTATGTTTGCAAGTGTGTGTTTCTACATGTGTGCAAATGCATGTATTTATTTCTTAATTATAAAATCACACACAAAATTCAGCAGTTTACCCCTGTCAGCTGGAAGATGGCGACGTCCGTATGCAGAGCCGGCAGCGCTGCGAGCAAAGCATTCTTCAAGGCTCGCTTGCCTGCATTGTTAAGTCTGAAGAGGAGTTGGTCTGCTGTATCCTATGCACAGACATTGCAGAACATTCCTGAGACCCAGCTTACTACACTGGACAATGGACTGCATCTGAGGAATCAAGCCAGCCTACCTGCACTGTGGGGGTGTGGATTGGAGCAGGCCGTCGCTATGAAAATTAAAAAAACAATGGCTCAGCATTTTTCTTGGAACATCTGCTGTTTAAAGGAACAGAGAAATGCCCTCAGGACGCTTTAGAACAAGAGGTAGAGAGCTTGGGAGCTCATTTAAATGCATATACATCACGCGAGCAGACGGCTTTCTACATCAAAGCTCTTTCGATGGACTTCTCGAAGGCTGTGGAGATTTTGGCTGATGTGGTACAAAACAGCAGCCTGGAAGATTTGCAAATTGAGAAGGCACATCAGGTGATGTTACCTGAGCTGCAGGAAATCGACTCCAACCAGCAAAAAGTTGCATTTGATTTTCTGCATGCGACGGTCTACCAGGGAACAGCTCTTAGCCGAATTGTTGTGGGACCTTCTGAAAATGCAAAGAAGCTCACCTGAGCAGATCTTGTCTTGTTGATTACGTTAACCACCATTTCAAAGCATCAAAGCAGGTACTTGCAGCTGCTGGAGGAATTAATCACAAGGAGCTGTGTGAACTGGCTCAGCGACACTTCAGTGGTCTTTCATACACCTATGAGAATGATGCTGTTCCATTGCTGACTCCCTGTAGGTTTACTGGAAGTGAGATTCGTGCATGTGATGATGCCCTCCCACTGGCCCATATCGCTATTGCAGTAGAAGGGCCTGGCTGAAATAGCTCTGACAATGTAGCCCTGTTTGTAGCCAACTCTCTAATTGGCAACTATGATGTAACATATAGAGGAGGAAAGAATCTCTCCAGTAAACTTGGAAGAACTTCAGCACAGTACAATGCTTGCCAGAGCTACCAAACTTTCAACATTCGTTATTTTGACACAGGACTTTTTGGGATCCACTTTGCTACAGATAAATATAATGTAGAAGATATGCTGCATATAGCCCAGGGAGAAAAGATTCCTCTCTGTACCAGCGTGACAGAAAGTGAGGTGGCACGATGTAAAAATGTCCTGAAAACTGCTCTGGTGAACCAGCTAGATGGAACAACTCTTGTATGTGAAGACATCAGGTGTCAAGTCCTGAATTACGAACAGCGTATTCCCTTGGAGGAATGATGATGCTGTCAGTGCCAAAAGAGTGAGGGAAGTATGGTCAAAATACCTGTATGACAAATGGGCATGTGCATGGGCAAATAATTTGGTTCGGTTCAGCACTTCCGAAATACGGGACTTTGGCAATTCGGGACTTCGGCAATTCGGCACTTCAGCAATTTGGTTGGGTTCGGCACTTCTGAAATTCGGGACTTCGGCAATTCGGCACTTTGGCAATTCCATAACCCTACCCTTAACCTTACCGTAACCCTACCCTTAGCCCTATCCCTAACCTCAACCCCTAACCCTACCCTTAAACCTACCCCTAACCCTAACCTACTAGGCTTAGGGGTAGGGTTAGTGGTAGGGTTAGGGGATATGTTAGGGTTAGGGGTAAGGCTAGGGTTAGGGGTAGGGTTAAATTGTCATCATTCCCTTAATTGTTTTGCCACTTTTTAGAAATTCAAAGGACTTCCAAAATTTGGCACTTCGCCAATTCAGTTCGGTTTGGCACTTCTGAAATTCGGCACTTCGGCACTTAGGATTGCCGGAATTTATCTGAATTTAAATTTTAGGAAGGAATATACCATTTTCTCTCTGCCTTTACTTAGAGCAAAAAAATATATATATTTTTTGAGAACAGAAATCGTTGACGTTAGAATGATCTGTTTTTTTTTTTTTTAACTAGCCAATGGAACCTTGTATGGTTGGAATAGAGGGTGAGGTTCATAGAGCATATCTCTTCTTTTATTCTACCAGGTTGATTCCTTTTTAACATCATTGGAATAACAAACTACATTATGTAATTTGTGCCAACAGAGACTAGTGTCCAATAGAGTTATTCACTAAAATGAGAATTGTCAGGAATTCAAAGTGAATTCCAAATTTACGGTATAAGTTAGTTTGGCCTTAAATTTGAAATTTACTTTGGATTCTTGACACTTTTCATTTTAGCAAATACATGTTGGTAAAGTGGAGAGGTTTGAACTTTCAAGATTTAGGCTTAGACACTTTTAGAATTGCCTCTTGGTATGATACATTTCATCTTGCTAAGTTTGCTCTGGTGGATGCATCTGCAGTCCTGCGATTTGGTAATTTCTCGAGTAAAGGAGCCATTGTGTCATGATACCTTACCTCACTCCCTCTCCCCCGACTGGAAGAACTACAGTTGCCGACTCCTCCCAGCGTCGGCACAGCATGTCAAAATATTCAATGCCCCCTGATGTATGGGGGCTTGGTTTTAAAGCAAAAGATAGTCCCCTATAAATTTAGCTTCTTTTGCTTTGGTTCACTAGCTGTTCCCTCTAGTGCTATATCGTTTCCTGATAGTGTTCTCTGGTATTTTTGACTTGGATTGTATTTGGATTATTCTGCTTTCTGTTTACCTGATTCAGCTTGTTTTCTCGTTTATCCTGTTTTCTGGTTTCCTGACTCGGCTATTCCTTATCATTATCCTGATCTCCGGTTTTCCTAGACTTTTCCTTGACTTTTCTCTTGCTATCCACGTTAAACCCAGCCATTCCAAGGTCCGATAATAAGTTTCCTCTATTTAGCGTTGCATTCTGCGTGCTGGGGAAACTTTGTCGTGTCACATTGTTAATGTTCTTCAAGTAAACCGAATGCGTTTTCCGCCTCCTACAGCCTTTGGAATACTGCAGTCAAAGCATTTTACAAAGCTCATAATAAACGGAGACAATTTTTGGAAAGAATGCCGACTCCACAACAATAAAGTAGGAACTGTCCTCGTGGCAAAAATAACACACAAAATGACCATACTCCTTCCCATAATTTGTACTAGGTGATATTGGTGAAGACTTTAGCTAAGATTATGTAATCCATATTCACAGCCTGGCAAATAGTCCCCACTGTCACAATTTAGGAAATAGTTCTGTCTGTGACTGTATTAAATCACAGAATAATATTACTAGCTAAAGTAGCCAACTTTCCAAATGAACAAGCAGACATCAAAAAAATACTATGTAAACCAGGGCTATATAGGTTCTGATTAAAATGCATTGCTATGTCATATTCAATATGGTATAGAGGTGGAGTTATCTTTTGTAATACTCTAATGCAACTGTCCAAGGGATTATGCAGGTCTATTACTTTTTATTGGACATTTTAAGAGTCTTAAGGGTGTGCATTTCTAGAATTGAGAGGATTTGGCTAATCTAGGATGTTTTTGCTTGTTTGTATGGTTCTGTGTCACATTGTGTAATGTAATTTTAATAAAAAAGAAAATATAAAATATGAATAAGCATAAAGAGTACATGACTCACAGTATTGTTCTGAATTGTAACCACTAGATGGAGCAAAGAGATTCTTCAACAACTAGATTTATAGAAATGCGAGTTCCATTGAACATTCCCCATGTCATTTTATTTCTAAATAACTGTCATTTTAATTGGATCTGTGTGAAGTCGAGACTCCAAGCAGAAAGTATGGTAGATTGGTTGCCAGTTATGGTGATAAAATGAGGCATCCTATGCAGAAAAGTCGTTAAGCAGTGAGCATTGGATTCGAACAAATTTAGCACATGGAATTTCTCAAACTAAATTCAATTGTCTCAAAAATGTGGTAAGCTCGGGTTACCATGGCAACGAACAATGCATGTTTTCAAAAGGAAAGCCGGCAGAAAGTTATCACAGGATTACACGATCCCACGCCTAAAGCTTTGAAATAGGAGACAAGAGGTGGTAGCAATATACAAGCATTTAAAAAAAAAAAAAGCAAAAACTATGCATTCTAAGACCTTTAATGCATGGTATGAGCCTGTCTGCAACAAAAAGTATACAAGCAAACCCGTGCTGTTAGCATCAGTCATGTGGACAACATATTTTAGTGGCACTAAAGTACGCCACTAAAGTTCATTGTCCGTGCAGCTTAAAACTAGCACTGTATACAGTGAGGGAACAAAGTATTTGATCCCCTGCTGATTTTAAACATTTGTCGACTGACAAAGAAATGATCAGTCTATAAATGTAATGGTTGGTGTATTTTAACAGTGAGAGACAGAATAACAAAAACAAAATCCAGAAAAACGCATGTCAAAAAGTTATAAATTGATTTGCATGTCAATGAGTGAAAAAAGTGCTTGATCCCCTATCAATCAGCCAAATTTCTGGCTCCCAGGTGTCTTTTATACAGGTAATGAGCTGAGATTAAGATCACTCTCTTAAAGGGGAGTGCTCGTAATCTCAGCTTGTTACCTGTATAAAAGAAACCTGTCCACAGAAGCAATCAGATTTCAAACTCTCCTCCATGGACAAGACTAAAGAGCTGTCCAAAGATTGTAGACCTACACAAGGCTGGAATGGACTACAAGACCATCGCCAAGCAGCTTGGTGAGAAGGTGACAACAGTTGGTGCGATTATTCGCAAATGGAAGAAACACAAAAAAACTGTCAGTCTCCCTCGATCTGATGCTCCATGCAAGATCTTACCTTGTGGAGTTCCAATGATGATGAGAACAGTGAGGAATCAGCCCAGAACTACACATGAGGATTTTGTTAATAAGCTCAAGGCAGCTGGGACCATAGTCACCAAGAAAACAGTAGGTAATACACTACACCGTGAAGGACAGAAATCCTTCAGCACCCACAAGGTCCCCGTGCTCAAGAAAGCACATGTAAAGGCCCGTCTGAAGTTTGCCAATGAACATCTGAATGATTCAGAGGAGAAGTGGGTGAAAGTGTTGTGGTCAGATGAGACCAAAATCGAGCTCTTTGCTTCAACTCAACTAGCTGTGTTTGGAGGAGAAGGAATGCTGCCTATGACCTCAAGAACACCATCCCCACTGTGGAAACTAAGGGGACAGGACAATTGCACCGCATCAAAGGGACAATGGACAGGGCCATGTACCGTCAGCTCATGGGGAGAACCTCCTTCCCTCATTCCAGCATGTCAATGACCCAAAACACACAGCCAAGGCAACAAAGGAGTGGCTGAATAAGAATCACACCAGTCTCCAGACCTTAATCCCACAGAAAATCTGCGGAGGGATCTGAAGGTTCGAGTTGCCAAATATCAGCCTCGAAACCATAATGAGTTGGAGAGGATCTGCAAAGAGGAGTGGGACAAAATCCCTCCTGAGATGTGTGCAAACCTGGTGGCCAACTACAGGAAACATCTGATCTCTCTGATTGCCAACAAGGGTTTTTCCACCAAGTACTAAGTCGAAGGGGTCAAATACTTTTTTCACTCATTGACATGCAAATCAATTTATAACTTTTTTGACATGCGTTTTTCTGGATTATGTTTTTGTTACTCTGTCTCTCGCTGTTAAAATACACCTACCATCAAAATTATAGACCGATCATTTCTTTGTCAGTGGGCAAATGTTCAAAATCAGCAGGGTATTAAATACTTTTTTCCCTCACTGCATGCAGTGCTAGTTTTAAGCGGCATAGACAATGAACTTTAGTGGTATTCCATGACACTAAAATATGTTGTCCACATGACTGATCCCAAAATTAAAATGATGCCAAACAGCACGGTCTCAACATTTTGACCTAGCCTGTTTAGTAAGTTGCCTCTACATAAACACACAGAATGTTCAAAATCAGCAGGGGATCAAATACTTTTTTCCCTCACTGTACATTTTAGTGCAGTTACTCAGTTGCGCATGTTGGCCCAACTATCAGAAATGCTCTAGCTGGGCAGGTCCTCTGACTATCAGAAATGCTCTAGCCAAGATGATATTACACTATACTGTATACTGCAAGCACTCTATAACATATAAAAATAGAGGAAGGTAGGTTTTTAACACTTTGTGCAGTGTGAAAACAAACTTGA